CAAAACCCCAAAACCCCAAAACCCCAAAACCCCAAAACCCCAAAACCCCGCAAGTTAATTATGTGTTAATTTTTGTGAACCATCTAATACTAAAATCTTAATCTAAATATTTCTAGTAAATAATCATTCTGAGTTAATATGCATAATCCCATAATCAATAAATATTAAAATGAAGCAATTTCATGCTCATCTTTTAATATAATGTATTTTAAATTTATCATTCATTGCTCTAATTAGATTTTCGAATTTTTCCCTTGATCTTTCCGAATTCTTACTTATTGCATTTTATAGAGTAGATGCTATTTTATTGTTTTAATTTTAGCTCAATTTATTATTCAACCATTTCATCAATATCATCACTTTCAAAAATTATAGGGATCATGAGTTCATTTATTGAAAAATGTTGATTATGTTATGGAGGTTTGTTATAAGCCAATTTACCTTAAAATTACTAAACGTATTGAATTCTTGTGTTATTCGTTATCTTTTAATAATGAAGACTCATGTTTCCAGAATGAAAAAAAAGTTACTAATCTATTTCAATGTTTTCTTCACTATTAATATCTGATTCGATATCATTTATGATTACAATCTTATTACTCTACAATGATAAGGGATTCATTATAAAATTATTGGCATCTGTTTAAGCAAGAAACTTGAATCTAGATGGACTTCTGGCAAATGAAGTGCATCTTGGCTCTATTGATTAGTTTCCTAAATTTTCAAATTAATTGCTTTTTATTTATGGCCGTGATTTCCTAATACTTTCAAACCAAGGATGCTATAGCAAGTATTAGTATTAATAATATTTACTTTCAAACATTAACTTAGAGAAGCTCTACTAATTGGATGAGATTATAGCATCCACGATAGAAGATGTAATGCTTTCTCACTGATTTTGCTATTAAGTTCCTGCAATCTCATTTCAGGGTTTTCTATTTGATTAGATCAAGTGATCTCTTAAGGGTTTTTCCCTGAGAATAAATTTTTTTTTGTTATTAAGTTATAAAACATGCAACCAAGACTGAATATATCACTTTTAGAAGATGAGTAACCTTGATTTAATAATTCAGGAGCAACACAGCCTGGAGTTCCACATACTTCTTTTAATCTCAATATATGTTATTATTTACATGCTAATCCAAAATCAATGATTTAGACTTTAAGAAGATTGGAATTTTCCATGATAACATTTTCTAATTTTAAATCTCGATGAAGAATATTTAGATTGTGAATTGCATTTAATCCCTCCAACAATTACTTCATTATAATTTGAATCTCAAGTTCTTTCAAATCTTACTTTTTATCTAAAAAATTAGCTAAAGTGCCTTCTTCTTCATATTTAAAAACTAATCTATAACTATCGAAAGTCTCATACACTTTGACAAGTTAGATAATGT